TTGGTGTCCGAAGAGGTCCTCAATTCCCGCTTAAGACGACTGACAGACAACTCATTGAGTTTGAACTCAATTGCACTGAAAGAGGACACCGAGGGCTCACTTTTAGGACATCCACTCGACGTATATCTCCTCATCAGACGAATGGCTATCGACTGGAAAGAAGTGAACGATTTGTTACGAACCAAAAGCAAGCGCTTAAGTGATGTCCAAATTAGACAAATCGGTGGTCACTCTAACAATATAAATGCATTCAATATTACGTTTGACTCGCAATTAAGGTCCGGTAGTCACGAGATTATCACTAATAAGGAGATAAAAGGTATTCAAATAAGTTTTAGTTAATAATAGAGATGTTATTAAATAACGAAAATTATTGACAACTTGTGAACAGACGCCGCGTTTGGAGTGATAAGTCTCGTCAATACTTATGAGTTGGATATTAAGTCATTAGCGAATGGATTCATTAGATCTAAGACCAGTTCCAGTGCTGAAGTGACTTCACATGAAAATCAATCCAAATATGCTTTAAATGCTTTCGACTGCTATTTGATTGGAAAACAAACGTTTGATAACAAGGAGTACTCGAATGCAAAGCAATGGCTGACAGAAGCGGTCGACAGATTGGATGACATGACCAGCGATGAGATAATTGCAGACATTTTCAATTACCTGTCGTTTTGCGAACTGAAAGTTGGAAAACCGAGTGAAGCCCAGAAATATAAGAGATGGTCGGCCGCTATAAAGCCAGACATCGAGACAAATGAGTTGATATCGGAGATGAAAGTGTTTAATGACACGAATGGCACTTCTGATCGTCTCAAAGATAAACCCATTTTTCCTTTCGCTACAAATGTATACGAATTATGTCGAGGAGAGAGACTTATGAACGACTCGATCGCCTCAAAACTCATGTGTTTTCACTTAAACACAACGAAAACACCGTTTTTACGGTTGACTCGCATTCGCGTGGAAGAGATGTACAAAAGTCCGCAAATTGTCGTAATCCATGATTTCCTGTCGGAGTACGAGACAAAAACTATCAACTCATTGGCTCAGTCATCACTTGGACAGAGAGACCTCAGAGTACCCCAACGACTGGCGACGGATAGTTGGCTTCTGGAAAGGCGACACAAATTGCTGCAAACAATCACCAGACGTATCGCTGCCATCACTGACCTTAACATAGATCCCGACGATAATAGTATTGGCGTTAAGTATAGGGTCGGCGGTTATATTTTCGACCACTGGGACGGCAATAAAATCATACGAAACATAATACCAGACGTATCGCTGCCATCACTGACCTTAACATAGATCCCGACGATAATAGTATTGGCGTTAAGTATAGTGTCGGCGGTTATATTTTCGACCACTGGGACGGCAATAAAATCATACGAAACATAACATTCCCCGTATGGCAGGGTATGGTCACGTGGATCAGCTACCTAAACAATGTGGGCGCCGGTGGGGCCACGGTATTCCCGCTAATCAATGTCACCGTATGGCCCGCAAAACGGTCGGCAATATTTTGGTACAATTTGCACAAATCAGGTGAACTCGATAGGCATACCCGCCATAGCGGGTGTCCAGTACTGGTGGGCAGAAAATGGATTGCCGGCAAATTGTTCCTATGGAAGGGACAGGAGTTCCGCAAACCGTGCGATCCATACGATCAACAATCACGTCATTACATTCAATGAGACAAAACATTATATTGTATTCAAGCAACTTGTTTTTTAATGATAATTTAGATATATGATAATACAATTTTAGGTCTAGTGTAATGAGCAATTATACTGTGTGAATTAAAAATTCAAAACAATCTTATACAGTTATAAATAACGTGTAATAGTGTAATAGATTTAATAATAA